AAGTGAACTAGACTATTGGTCTTATCATTTCATTTCTCTAGTCTAGACTTATCCGTATTCAAGATAGTTCGAGTTTGATCCATCGTGATACTCGGCCTTGAGAAAAGTCTTCTTGCAGTACTGCCTTTCCAGCAGGCGACGAGTCTGGGGCCAATCGTAGGCGAACAAGGTAGCAGCCCTCTTAGCCGAAGCGGCGACGTCCTTGACCGGGGCGAGAGATGTAAGGATCCGGGAAACCCCGAGGTGCTTGTACTTGCCAATGGTTCTGATAGTGCTAGAACCCTCATCAACAGTAGCGTAACCGGCCTCGACCAGACATGCTTCAACGACCTCTAGGTGGTGAGGAAGTCAGTGACAATAATTGTCACACATTTTTGTCACCTCTGTTGAAGGTTATTGTACTTCTTGTTCTGGTTATCTTAACAATGTATTCTGGTTATGTTTTTTTTTACAAAAAATGGTTCAATTCTGACACGGCGCGTTTTAAATCGTCCTTCCGATTGCGTTCAGTCGGGAAACACTCAGGCGGTAAGGAGTTCCACAGATCGAGCGCCCTAATCCGAAGGTTTATTTCTCGTAGTTAATATTCGATCTAAGATGATCATATACCATGCTCTGCTTTCCTCTCTATTATCAGGTGTAGTGGGATCTCTCATAAGGGTTCCTATATCATATGAGAAGGTGACGAAAGAGGCTGATGTGTATTTTCTAGTTGGAAAAGCAACACATCGGTCTTTCCTCTATGAGAAGTTCTCCGTATACGTGGCTCGGTGGCTGGTCAAATCAACAGCAATGTTATGTGTGCGGAGGCTATGGCCATTGGGCCAGTGTATGCCCGTCCCGAAAGATTACAGATGACAGGCAAGAGCCTAATAAAGTAAGCACCCCTAGCCTTGCTTCGAGTGTATTACTTATAGTTCTTAAGGGACTATACTTCCTGATTGATTCTGGTTGTTCCATTACCATCCTGTCATCCAATTCAGGCTTGAGTGGCAGCACTCCCGCTAGTGCTGGTCGTACAAAGTCGATCAATACTATATTCCAGAAGTCTTATCAATGTCAAGACTTGACCAATATCAGTCTTCCTAGCGATTTTCAATCGCAGACGACTGTGGTGTTACGGGAGTGCTCTGATAGAGTGGTTTGCCACAGTTTGTGATTCTTAAGTACCCTTTGTTGTGCGTAGTCGTGTGCGCACAGTATCTTGCGCAGTACTGATCGATTATCCATAGCTGTTCGGTATTGCACGCACGCACAGGTGGTACATATGTTATACCCCACTCTAAGTGGACTAGCGTTGCTAGTGAGCTTGACGGTACACACATTGCTACATCTGGTGCCCAGACCCAGGACCAACATGCCGTTCAAGCTCGAATCTGTATTGGAACCCTATTCTGGTGGTGAAAACGACTTCGCTCTTTGGCTGCAGGAGTTCGAGACGGTGGCCGAGGCTTCTAAGTGGACTATTAAGCAAAAGTCACAATATATCGTACTTTTTATGAAGGGCTCGGCCAAAGAGATCGCTAGGCAAGCCCTGGAGGAAGTTGAGGGCGATCCAGCTGGTGCCTATGCTCATGTGGTTAGGGCCCTGGATAGAGCGTACTCGCTCAAAACTCACGAGGCGTGGAAGCGTCTGACTCGCCGTGAGTGGCACAAGGAAGATAGTGTTGATGGTGTATTAGCTGAATTCCGCCGCTACCTTAGAGTGCTAGGGGTTACTACCACAGTGGCTGCTGAGAACATCCTTCGTGAAAGCCTGATTGCCACCCTGCCCGAAGACGTGCAGAAGGCCATCCGGGTGTTCGAGGAGGATGGGCGCCAGTTGCCTTTGGCTGATGTTGTTGCTAAGGCTCGAGCTCAGCTGAAGACTTACTCTGGTGAGAAGAAGCTTGCTGCGGGTGCTGTCACTGGTGGTCAATACTGTTATATCTGTAAGGCAACCGGCCATATTGCTGCAGAGTGTCGAGAGCGCGGAGCGACACGTCCTACCTCGAAGCCCAAAGGCAAGGGAAAGGGCAAAGGACCCCGATGCTATGCTTGTCAAAAGTATGGTCACATTGCAAGGGATTGCAAAAACAAACAGAGCAAGGCCGGTGCTGCTATTGAGAAGGATTTTGTGCAGGCAGAGCAGCCGATGGGCGGGGTTGTTCTGCATATGTAAAACGCCCACACTTACTCTGTAAGTTCAACGGTCATGAACATGCCGTTGATGTTGACACAGGGGCTGACTATTCATTAGTATCATCCAAGTTTGTTTCATCTTTGGGTCTTACAGTTCATCACGAGGTTTCCCCTGTACGGCTCAAAATGATGGATGCGGTTGGTGTCCTAACGACAACAGGTCAGGTGGATCTTCCGGTTATGTATCTAGCTAAAGATGGATGGGTTAAGGTGGTTCATACTTGTTATGTTGTTGATAAAATGGTATTTGGGTCTCTAGTACTGGGAGCTGATTTTGCGTCTCTCTACTGCCAGGGTATGACCTGGGATGAAGGTGGCCGCATAGCGGTCACTGCTGCCGCTGCTCGTGGCATCGACGAAGATGTACAGGCGTACAACTTGCCAGACATTCCAGGAGTACGCGTGCTAGAATACCCAAATGGCACCGTTGAGATTATCAGCATCGACTTTGTACTCTCTAAACGTTCCGATGAACCACAGTTTACTTGCCGATGGATATGGCGTGGAGGTGACCCTCCTGGTACGTTCTACAAGGCTAACAGAGGTGACTACAACCCGAAACTCACCGCACAAGAGGAGCTTAACTTGCGTGCTGAGACTGATAAGTTAATAACTAACGGCTGGGTGAAACCTTATGCTGGCAGGGTTCGTAATATTCTCCCATGGGTACTAGTGGCTCAACCCCATAAGCCTTCTACTCCACTCCGTATGTGCTTAGATTTTAGAGCTCTCAATAAGCACCTGGTGAGTGAGCCAGTACGGGACATCGTAAACTGTGTTGATACCTTACATCAGTGGCGTTCGGTTCGGCGTGGTTATACTCTCGATGTCATTAAATGCTATTATTGTATACGCATGTGTGAGAGTCTGTGGCCATATCTGTGTGTCATGATTAACGGTGAGATCTTCACCATGGTGGTTATGGGATTCGGAGTATGTATTGCGCCGAAGGTAGCCACGTCGGCCATCAGATGGTTGCTGATGAAAGTCCCCTACCCAATTTCATCATACCTCGACGATGTGGTCATCGAGGAGTCTGACCCTAATGTGGTTATCGCTGTGAATCAAAATGGACAGCTTCTCGAAGATCCACCATGTGTGACGGCTGTTCGAGACGCATTGGGTAATGGGCGTATGTATTGCAAGCCCACGATTATCATTGGGGCTAATAACAGTCGTGTGCTTGGGCTGAGTCTCCATAACGATGGTGGTGAGATATCATGGGCTCGTAGAGAGGATCTGTCTCTAGAGATCAATCTTGATGGAGATGAGGTGGTTACCAAAAGAGAACTGGCTGGTTGGTGTGGTAAGTTGACTGCCTTGGTCCCAGTAGCAAGCTGGTTACGACCTCATGTAAGTATGCTATTACGAGTGATCAGTGCTTTAGCTTGGGATAAACCGGTGGATGCGGTTTACCTGGATCTTGCTCACTATATTCAACAGAAGTTCAACTCTGAAGGGGATCCAGCTCGCGGCATATGGTACTGTCCCCGCCCAAGTGATGCCAAGGCATGGCATATTCATGCTGATGCGAGTTCAGTGGCTAT